ACCATTCTATGATTGTGTGGCACAGGGGAGAATAATATGGATTAGGTAAAGGAATTTACCACCTGGGTTAGAAAAAATTAGTATCTCTGTAATTTGAGATGGCTTCAAAATAGCTCAAAAATGTTGTTTCTCAAGTGTATTTGTCACTGGGAGCTTTTCTTTTGAAAGTGAAGCCATCCATGTGATACCTTAGATGGGTTTAGTCCATCAGCTTCAAGCACCGTTTCCAAAAGTTCTTGGCCCAGGTTGCTACAATATAAGGACTGTTGTAAGCACGTGTGAGACCCAGTGGAAACTTCACACACACCAGTATGATGTTTTGGAAGCTTCATCTTTATTGGAAATTACACTTACTTTTATACAATTCAATAATTACCACATATTACACTACTTATCCTGTTATTGGTCACACACACAAAACACACACTGTTCACACGATTATTATTGGTTAGTCAACATATCTTATTTTCTAAATTCTTTTCCTTATCTAACCACAACACTTTTATTCACATGGCTCCTGGCAGGTCCAGCTCAAACTCCCATCTGCAGGTGCTGTTTTTCTCGCTCCTGCAGATGTCCAGTCCTTGTCGTGTTCTCAAAACACTTAGTCCTCGAGACTCCTCAAATTCCCATCAGTTGGTTTACTCCTGCCTTAACACAAAAGGTCTCTAATTCTCCTACAGACTGTCTTAGAGATGGATTATTAATATATTTTATGTAAGTATTTATATCTCTTGAATAGTCTCATGCAATAGCTTGCACTGTCTGAAAACAGGCAAAGCGTAATTTTGGTTTCTCGTTATCTTCCATTGCACTGTCAAAATATAGGTAATGTTTGAGTTACAAATCATTGTACAATGCTGTGTATTTTTCTTACAATGGCATTAAAAGATACTCTGAGGCCCCTTTGTATAAGGTGCTGCTCCTAAATTTAGAACTCTGCTATCTGGCAGCATCCAGATCCAGAACATCCATTCCAAGATGTTCTGTTTAGGTGCTAGACAATATTTACACCTCAGTGTGGTTGATATTTATGAAATCAAATGTTGTACCTGAGACAGTGATGGTCTCAGTGTTGTCATACCACTGGACTGTGCCTCAGAAATGCACTACTACTGTGAGTAGTGTCTTGCAGAAATCACAGTTACAAACTTTGTTTAGCCTACAAAGCTGGCAGTGGAAATGTCTGCACCACCTCCAGAAGCAGGGCAGGAGGAAAAAACCTATTTCCAAGCAGTGATGATCCATCCAGAAGGAACCTGAGGTCCCAGCAGGCCTCCATCACCCCTGTGCCCCACTTTGTCCCATCTTGGAGAGTGTCAGCCATCACTCCTGGGCTTGGAAGGACAGCACTCACAGGCTAAGAAAATAAATTGTGTTTCCAACTTTGGCATGTGTGTCCTTGCAGCTGCCAAACCAGTAAGAGTGTGTGTGGGTGGTTGGACAGTTGAAGGTGTTGCTTCAGATCCAGAAAAGTCCTGTGTGCTTTCTGCCAGCAATAACAGGATGGATTGCTGTAAATTACTTTTCAGGTTTAGCTTGTTGTTTATGCTGTAACCAGCCAAAGTGACACATGCACTGTGTAGAACAGTTCAGAGAAACGTGCAGGGAGAAAACTGGGAGAGGACTAACGAATTCTTATTTTTGCCACTGAGTATTTGCTCCTAGGAGGGAAAGAAAAGCCAAGAAGAGTGCACACAGGATGCAGTATGGTTAACTCAGTCCTACCACTAGCTACTCAGCTTTCAGAATTTCCTTTTGATACTGTTTTGTTGGAAGTGCCTGTGCCATGACTCATTCATGAGGCTGCGGGGTCTGTTTTACTCCTGCTGCTCCAACCACTGGACCAGACACTGGGAACTGAATTATTTTTTCCACACCACTGTTGTGTGACTAAAAGTCTTATGGTCATGGAATCAGCCTAGGGCGTGGAGTATCCCAGAGAAATCGCTGCCTTACGGCACCCTGCAGTCTCTGGGGATGCAGTCTCTGGGGATGCAGTACCTGGGGATGCAGTGAACGCCTTTGCTGTGGCTGCGGTTTGGGCACCGGGGCAGGAGCTCAGTCCTCATCATCCAGGGTGAGCCCTGCCCCTCTTGGACTCGGGGCCAGCCTGGTTTCTGTGCTCTCCCTTCTCCCAGCCTGGCCCCAGGGGAGCCGCCAGGGCTGACTGAGCCCGCGGTTTCACGGCAGCAATTGATCCTCCTGCAGTTCTGCCGCGGGAGCATCTGGGGCTTTTGGAGGGCAGGAGACAAACGTGTAATCTGAGAGTAACAGACACGCTGCTTCTGTCCCAGCCGGCAAAGGGCCAGCATTCCGGGTCTGGAAATGTGCCGGGGTTTGTACTCACCCTGAGAAAGAAGGGAAAAAGTGGAGAAAGAGAGAAAGGGAAGTGTGTGCTGTCACGGATCTCACTCAGCAAATAAATGTTTTTCTTTTTAACTCTCTGAAAGGAGGGTGGTTGCCAAAGACAGAAGGAGGGGAGAACAGTTAAGGGAACAGGCACAGTTTAATTCCGTATTTCCCAAAGTAATTGGGATTCTGGTGATCAGGCCACTGCAAATGTGAGTCATTCATACATGACATTGTTATGTGGGGAAGTGAGACCACGTGAATGGCTTCACAGAGAGAACTTCTGTTCTGCTGTTGATGCAGCTACAAGGGTTGCACCACAAGATATGTTTTGGGGTCCAACTGGTTTGTGAACCAGGTCCCTGCTTCTTATAAGAACAGTCAGAAATATAGGCCCTGAAGTCTTGTTGCTCCATAAATGTTTTAATAACTTCAGGAGAAAAAACAGCTCCACCAGGAGGTACGAGGAGAGCCCCATCCCAGAGTACATGGTAATCTGCTGTTGAAATATCCCCACTGAAGGCACAGTTTGAGGTCTTGAGCAGCTACAGAAGCTGGACTTGATTGCTTGCTTACCCACTGGGTAAGTGCTGTAACTGCTGGACCAGGAGCTGTAGGAGGGCAGTGATCACAGGAGGGGACCACAGCCCCTTTCTCCTCCTCACAGTTCTCCACATTGCTTTGAGAATACATACAGAATTCTGTTTGGGTTTTTTTTGTTTGGTTGGGTTTTTTTAATATATGGCAAACTGTGCAAAGTAAAATATATCTGCAGTCTTTTATATGTGTTTATATTCTGTTTGGTTAACTCACCCTACAGATGGGAGAGGTGTATGTTAAGTTTTGAGCCTGGACTGTCCAGGCTTGGAGCTGCTTGGTGCTGTGAGAAACCCTCTAACAAAGCTGGATTGCCTGGGAAGAGCTTTACTGGTGAAACATTTAGTGTCTCCAGGGAGAAGCAGCAGCTGGGCAGGGTTTTAGAAGTCTGCATTATGAATATGGGCATCTACTGCAAAGTGAACTGAATCTTGGAAAGTTATTTCTTTTGTAAATTGAGCCCTGGTTCCACTTGCAGGACTCTTTAACAGCTGTTATTTTGTCAGCAAAAAGCTTTAGGAGACAGCAATTATTCCTTACCATGCACTGCACTGTAACTGTTGGGTATCTTACATGCAGGGAGTGCAAAATCTACTCAGCCCCAAAACCCTGCGGCTTTTTATTCCGTTTGTAAGTTGTGTTCAAACTATTTTGTATAAGGGGTTGCTGGAAAGAGGTGTCAAGTACACAAAAAGGACTCTTCCACATCCTGTGAGCATTTATCATGTATTGATTATGGTACTAGAATTAACATCTAATTACATAAGTCTGAGACTTTTTTTCCTGAGATGTAAAGCTGGTAAGAACCAGGATGAAAAGGAAATTATTTTCAAACACCTTATTTCCAAAACCAAGAGTATACCCCAGTGTCCCTTTTTGCCCCTTCCCTTTCTGGCTCCCATTCTCAATGTTATCAGTAAATCTGTCATTCAGGAAAGGTTCATGCTCAGCTACTTGATATAAACACAATTTGGACTCAGTTTTGAAAAAATATTAGAACTGCTGATGTTTTATTCTTATCATGAAAGGTGATTATTATTTAGTGCCCTGACTTTTGAAAGACTGTGAGAGCAAAGGCTGTAACAGAAGGGTTGGGAGTTACTCCACCTGCCTGCTTTCCCTTAGTATCAGTGTTGAACCACTACCAGAATATCAGATGTTAGTCTGATCACTGCCTACAGCTGGGCAAGCCTTGCTGGAGAGTGAAATGACCCTTACACTGCAAGAGTAGCTAAGAACAAAGTCAGAAATGTACAGACAACAACATAAAGACTCATATGGATTTTGTGTTCGTACTACTTAAACAGAAACATTTTTCAGTTGTGATTTGCCTGAAAATTTCATTTCAGAATGTCAGTAACTGTTTTTGTCAATGTGTATGTCAATGGTAGAACAGCACAATGGCTTCTTAAATAGAGATGGATATTATATGCTTTACAAGGTGCTTAAAACCTATTACTAGCAAAGATGTGGTGGCAAAACTGTTTCATTTAACTGAAGGCTCCCTGTTTCATGGGTTTATCTCTAACTCTTACCCTTTTGGCATGGATGTAATATTGGTACAGGACTGTATTTATCACTGGTATTATGCACTGGCAGAGGGGAAATCAGCAGTTTTATGTTGTGGCTTTTCCAGATCTGTGCAGTTGTAATCTCTGGTCCCCCCCACCCTCCATACCCCACCTTCTAACAGTGTAAAAGAAATAACCTCTAGCCTAACTTAAAGAAAAGAAAGTCAAGGCTGGAAACAGTGGCAGTGCAGAAGCTGCAGGTCTGTGCCTGGATGTGGGCTGGTTCACTGGCACAGAACAGGGGTTTCTTTGGGCATTCTGGGTTTCCAAACCCAGGCTGAGGTGTGAGCAGCGCTGCTTGGGGAAAAACTTGCCAGGATACTGGGGGAAAAAAACCCAACCTGCCAAAGAACCCAAAGTCAGCAATGACAAAAAAGCCAAATTGGGAGCAGATGGATTGTTTGTCAACACTCACACAGATAGAATGCAGTTTCTTTTCTTTTGTTTTCTTTTGTTTTCTTTTGTTTTTCCTTCCTGCAGGTTCGTCATCGGTGGTGTGAACTTGTCATTAAACACAAGTATGTGCCTGGGTATGGAGATGTTGAGAGGTTTCTCAGAGAAGATCAGGTAAGTTACATTTCAGTTAGCATTTTGGAAACAATCAACTTTTTGACACCCCTAATCTGAAACAAAAAAAAATATTTTAATATCTTTTCTTGCTGCAGTGTGTCAAAAACTTGTCTGTGCATTCAGTTTTTGCTGCTTCTGTCCCTGCCACATTGTGGTTTAAGAAAGCCCCCTAGGGTAGGCATCTTCAACCCCACCTAAGCATCCAAATCTTCTGTCAAGTGGTACAGTAGGATATAATCTGGCCTCTTCTTCCCTTTTATGCAGCCCAGAGGCAGCAGTGATGTTGGGAAGATACTTCTCAGCACTGGTTCCCTTTGCAGGATGAGGCAGCAGGGCTGACTGTGAGTGTAGGTGTGAGGTTTGTGCAGAGCAGGCAGTGCTGGGATGACTTCTGCCTACGAGGTGACAGCCAGAAGGAGAAGGGTAGCACAGCCATACCCAGTGAATGCTACCACAACATTCTGAAGGCCTCAAAGGGGCCTGCATGATGTCCTTACAAGAGCCTTTTATTTAGGCCATTATGAACTTAAAATTCTAATTGCACCGCTGCCTTGTTCTGTCTATTTCAATGTTATTTATTTTTATTCACTATGAACTGTAAAAATAGAGACATTCACTGCCTAGGATGAATGTTATTTATTTAAAATGTATGCATAAAATACAAAATGATGCAAGATATGTCAAAGTCTAAGGAAGATATTAATGTCTTTACCTTTTATGCTGACAATGAACAAAGCCATTTGCAGCCAATGAGGATTTTGTGCTTTCAGGCAGTGCAGGACAATTGAATTATTGCAGTCTGGGATGCTCTTTCTTCTAGCTCTAAAGTATACCTCCTATTTATATCTCAGCTGATAAAAGGCCCCAGAGTTCTTGGCAAGCTCTTTATTAACTGGAAAAAAAAAAGACATAAAAAAACATTTTTTCACAAGGAGCTATAAATATTGTGCATATTTTTATTCTGTGACAGGATTGATAACCACCAGCAGAACCTGGAGGATGAGGGGCCAGGAAATCCTTGAGTTGATAAAACTATACAGAATTACATTATGTTTGAAATAGATAATTTACCAAATAAAGACATTTTCTACAGTGTAGGGAAATGATTTTTGCAACTTTTTTTATGTAATCTTCATTTCATTTACTTCAGCAGTGCATAAAGTTTATGGCACAGCTTCTAGAGTGATTGCCACTCATATCAGAGCAGTTGCATTTCCTTACTGATCATGAGAGACAGCTTATTGAAATGTCTGGGCAAAAATGCAAATGTGACTATTTAAACACTTTTCAGGTCTACAAAACACGAGTTTGTTCACAGCACATTAATATTTAGGCCTGGGGGGAAATTATTAGCATTGGCTAGAGAAGGTAATTCCTATTTGTAATGAAGCTCCAGCATTTTTAAATTCTCACTGGAAGCGAGTGGAGCTCAGCTGGAAGGGCTCTGCCTGACCCTGGTGCAACTGCAAACCTTGGAACTCTGAGTCCTGGGTTCTCTGATGCCAGAGAGCATGCTGAGGGGATTGCCAAGGAATCTGGCAGGTTTCTGCCACTCTCAGACTTTTTCCTTTAATTTCAGTCTTTTTTAAGCTTTAAATTCCCCTTCTTGTTGAAGCTGGTTTTTTTTTTAAGGCTTAGCAGCTAATTCTGGAAATTGTGTTAAATTGTGTTAAAAGTTGTGTTTTCTCTGTGCTATCCAAATTTTTCCTGTCCCACAAGTCCAAACAATGAGCCTGACTTGTAAAAGTCAGCATGCTGGGCTGCTAATGTTTTGTCAATGCAATCCTATTTTGGTAAGTGCAGCTTAACACTCACTGAATTCCTGTAATTAGCTGAAAAAAGTTGTATCATCATAAAAAAAGGCAATCCCCAGCATGTTTGCTGTTGTTAGGCAGTGCTTTCCTGGCAGTGGTCAAAGGGGCCCAGATCTCAGGTGCCCCATTACCTGTTTTTGTAGCTGCTGTGTCCAGAGTAAGCAGTTAGGAAGAGCCTGCCTTCGTACCAAACCAGGACTTGTGCATGTTCAGCTCATCTCAGATGTATAGGGGAGTGTGAGACACAGACCTGACCATGAGCAGCTGATGCCCAGTTACCAAATTGCCAAATGGGAGTTCCAGAGTGGACTGCCTCGGTCTTTGTTCAGGGATGACTGTGTAAACATCCCCACTGGAAAGAAAATGTGTATCCTGTTGAAGCAAAGACAAGCTGTTTCCTTAAGGGACGTTTGGAAACAAGTCAGGTCGTGGATAAAAGAAAACAGTGTTCAACTTGAAGAGTGCTGAGGAAAGTGGAGTGGGAATGTTTTGTTGTTGTTGTGCAGTAACATAGACCTCTTACACTAATAACCTGTTTTTACACACTCAACACAGCATATAGACAACCATCCTTAGGCTAAAAAGACCCAGGGAAAACTACTTCTGGGGGGAGGAGGAGTGTAATAGTTTATGGTATTTTCTATGGTTTGCATTGTCTGTTTTGTTTCATTTTCGGTTTAAACAAGTACTGGCAGGTCAATGGAATGACTAACTGGTTGTTACTGGTAGTAGGATGCCTGTGTGTTATGTTCCTCTTTCAGGCTATGGGGGTGTATCTCTATGGTGAATTAATGGTGAATGAAGATGCAAAACAACAGGAACTTGCACGTAAATGCTTTGCTTCGGCACAAGAACACATGGATGCGTCCTCAGCCAAAGTGGTGGCAGAGATGTTGTTCTGAAGAGGTGATTTTTCACTTTAATCTAAACATCCTGATTTTGCTTCATAAAGAATGAATATGCAGAGCTCACTGAACGTGGTAAACTTGGGCATACCGTGCAGCCTGTGGCTACTTAGGTCGAGAAGTAACTCTTGTTAAATATCTTGTTGGTTCTTTTTTTTTTTCTTTTTTATTTTAAGCCCAGCTGCAGGAGCAGTGAGTGACACACATGTAGGCACAGCTGGAGAACATGGCCTTGTTGTAAACGTTGTAAGGACTATACAAGAGACAACTGTAAGTCCAAAGGGCCAAAGAAGGCCAGGCTCTGCCTGCAGTTGTTTCCCATTCTGTATTCTTCACGGTGCTTATGGAAGTTGCAGTTGTACAAGGAGCATTTCTGTTTAATTGAGCTGCATGTTTACTTGATAAGCAGCACAGTCTTTGAAAAGAGTTTAATCCAACAGTGGAAATATGAAACTTTGGATTTCAAAGCAAATCTGAATGATCTGAGAACAAGCTGATAATTCAAATGTGTTTGTGTTAAGGGTAGTGAGGCTTTTGAAGATTGATTGTGAGGTAAGAAGAGTAGCCTTAACATGAGGGAGCTAGCTTGTTTACAAAACTGAGGAGGAGAAATCACCAGAGAGGAAGAAGAATTGCAAAAATTATTCATGGGATAAAGATTGCTGTAGGCTATAAAGTGGTAATTTGCAAAGGTGCTTCCCACTGCTCAGTCTGTTTGAGTAGTTGGAGGCAACCTTACAGTGTCTCACGTGCACGCTCAACATTTAAGCAATTAAGACTGGTATGAAGGTTTGTTCCAGTACAGCACACTTCAGGTCTTTGATTAATGGTAAAACTCACCCAACAAACTTTGGTTGTTCATGTAACTTTACAGTTAATTTGTGTTATCAAAATTCAGGCATCTAATTTAGCAATTTCTCCTGTTCAAGCAGTGCTTGACAGTGAGTTCCACTTGATTTCCTGGGGTTTACTACATTTATATGAAATACAGAAAATGAAAGCTTCTATGAAAGCAAGTGCAAGTTTGTTTATGAAAAGCCATGTCATCTGTGTAGATGGGAGCTGTGCCTGCCCAGAAAACGTTTTTGGGAAAGATGGATCAGACTGTAGAGTACCAGGATATCAGTTGTGGAGTAGGGGAGCCACCCTTTAAAACAGGTACAGCTAAGAGATTCTTGTGTACTCCCAGTTATGAAGGACTCACAGGAACCTGAGTTACGTTCAACAATTCCTTATCTGTTAGATGTCTTCTAGTGAAGGCCACCTTCTGAAGGCCAGAAACATGGAGATGCAGTTTGTTCTGGTACTACTGTACTAGGAACTGACTTCTTATAGTTTCTTCAGTAATAAAATCAAAATTTCTACAAGCTTCTGATGGTAAGTACCTAGCACAGGAAAATTACATGGTATGTGTGTGTGAGCAACAGTCTAGAGTCACCCCTTTGGCTTTCCAGACAGACTAGAAGTGTGTGATGAGCTATGACATAAAGTCTAAAGATATTGAGTACAATACTCTGTGTGACTGCTCAATTTCCTTTTAATGTTGTGGCTGTTTGGGTTCCTGGCATGATGATTTGTGATTTAAGATTAAAATCACATTGCCAGGGATTACCACACAGCCATGACCGCAGCTGCTAGCATGAAACTCACCATAACTATCTGATCCGTGCACAGCCTGGAATCCTCTCCATCCATGAAACAAAACCAACCAAACAAAAAACAAACCAAAAAAGAGGAAAGCAGCAGAGCACCACAGAAGACTCTCCTCCAAAAATGATCTCTGCCGAGACGGAGGCCTCTCTGGCGAGGTGCAGAGCTTAGCTGATTGGTGAACAGTGATTGTTTCCCGCTTTGTTCACAGTGGCTAAGTTCTGCACCTGAAGAGAACGGAGAGGAGACTCTGTGCAGGGCAGATACCTTGCTGCTGGATGGGTAGATTTGGAGTGAATGCATGTGTGTGAGGTCCAGTATATGGAGGATAAGAGGCAGAGGTGACTTAGAGAGGACCAAAGACTTTTAGTTGAGAATAAACAGTGCTCCTTAAGCTCTCAGTCTGACTGCAAATGTAAGGTATTGCCTACAGTAATTTGGTTTCCATGCTTTCCCAAGGGTCAGAGGAAATACTGGCTGTGCCTTTAACCTGGAATTGTCAATAAAGCTTTGTTTTATAGTCTTCTGTTTAACGGCTGTCTCTCTGCAGTGGTAGCTCAGCACTGTGTGTCATTTGCAGGACACGGTGGCAGCTCCAGTCAGAAACAACTTCGGCTGCTGCTGTTGTTCCAGGCTGTTGATGGACCCGTCCTCCGGTGCCTACTGAGCTGATATCAGTTCTGATTTTACACACTGGCTCAGTTCAGCAGGAACAGGAGTCGAGCCCTAGAGCAAAAAAAGATGTACCTTTCTAAGAGCTGTTGAGAAATGCTGTTGCTGTTTTCTCTCAGAAAATGAATCAGTGTTCATTATGATGTCCTGATGTTAAACACTAAATGGCCTAAGGTGAAAAGGCTACCTCAGTACTGTTTAGAGAACTGTATGTGGACATGTAGCACATCACACAGTATTGCTCTGGGAACTGGCCTCCAGCGTTATTTCCAGAGTAACCTGCTAATAACCAAGAGAACATGCTTCCTCCATGGATCTTCCCCGTCTTCTCCTGACCCTGTGGTGGCTCTAGGAAGCTACAGAGAACAGCGACTCTTAACTCTGCAGCCACAGTCACGCTCTGCTGGTAACCTGGAAAATAACTCATTTTGGAAAGCTGGGGCAATCAAGAGTGCACAGATACTCCTTTACCATGGCAGAGTAATAACTTTAAATGCTGTTTCCGTTGCAGGAAAGATCACAGAGAAACTCTTTTAATAGATCTTCTACTAAACCCCGATGGTACTAGGATTTCATTGACCCAGGACATCAAAGGAAGGATTATGTGACTGCTAAAACAATCATTTGAGAGAAATATTTACCTTTCTGTATTTCCAGAGGCTTACTGTAACTGAGACCACATGCACACAAAACAAACTACACACACACGTGCTACTCTGGCTTTAGGTGATTCTTTGATTCAGGACATTTGGGGTTTGTCCTTGGTCTTTGGTAATACAACCATTCCAGTTTGCAGATACCAAGGACTCTTGATTTGAACAATTCATGCACTGCAGTAATTTGGACATTCTGGAATTTGATTAAATTGTATATTGTATACTTAAAATTTTGTTTGTAACTTCTTTGTCATAATGAAAAATGCCCCACATAAAATTAGCAGGAGCTGAGATGGGACATTAACTAGAAGCATAAATAATCTGTGGAAAGTGACCTAACATCATCCCGGTGAAGGGATGGGACTGAAGGAAAAACAAAGATCAGCATTTTCTCTCTGTGATGTTTAGGTTAAATTTTACCAGAAATGTCAGACTTGTAAAGTGAATTTTATACCCCTGTGCTGCTCCTTTTGCACAATGATATCTCAGTTGTAGCTCTTCTTTCCTGATCAGTAGAGCACAGCACTTCTGGAGACATTTTAATTGTTCCTTTCCGAGAGTAAGAATTTAAAACACAAAAATCTGTGAACATACTTCTTTTGTACTCTATTGTTTTACATAAAATGATCTTGTAGAAATAAATACTTTTGTCAAGTATGTGTAGTTCTTCCCATTGCACAGTGGTTCAACATTAACTCACAAACTTGCGAAAAAGAATGACCCCATTTCTGCTTTTGCAGCAGGAGAAAAGCAGCTGAAAGATGTTAGTTAATGGATATTAACAAGAAAAATTAATTGTGCTAATTTCTTTTAAATTTTTGTTCTCAAAATGTAAAGTAAGAGCCCGTCTCCACGGTGACTTCAGCACAAAGAGTACAGTTCCTTTTCACCTCACCATGTTGTCTGACCTCTCCCTTTCCAGGCTTACAGTGTCAAAACCTGAGTCTTGGGACACTCAGTGAGTTCTTTCAAAAGCAGCAGCAGCGAGGAAATCGTCCAGGGACGCGCCGAGACACCACAGTGACTCTGAAGAGGCACGGTCAGCGATGTACTTATTACAGGGTCCCATTTATAAAGCAGTTATGCTTCAGGGCACAGGTTTTTCTGCAAAGGCCAGCAAGGGAAACCAGCTTGCTTTTTGCCTTCTCCATTGTGTAAAGGAAAAAACCCAGAGCTGGGTAAGACTCTTGCATAAGACACACAGAAATTAAATACATCTTAAACCTCTTCATAGCCACTCCTGCTGAAACTACAGGGCATTGCACACCTTTGTGAATATCACACATTTTTGTTCTTTCAAAACAATCTGCTTGCATTTTTTCTTTAATATTGAGCACAGCAGTAGCTTGTTCTGTTTGCTACAGCTGTTCCAGTCTGTCTCAGCAGTGTTAACTTGAACATTTCCCTCACTACAACTTTGTGATCCATCATGCGTGGTAGCAACTGAGAAACTGAACAGAAACTGAAACACTAACACCAAACAACCTAAGAAATGGCAAGGAGGTCGCAGTCCTGGCCCTTTATCAGGTCTTACAGGGCCTTTTGTTGCTAATCCAAGCATTGTGAAATACAGTGAGGCTCCAGATTAAGAAGAAAACTAAAGGTGGCATTGAATAGTTCTGTGACCGTAACTCATCATAAGTAAGAGATAATAGGAGATTCATGTATGTATTATATAGTAGGGTCACTATCATGATATAAGTCTTCCCTTAGTGTAAAATCCTTCTGAATCATGAAAAAAGCACTGGAAGTGAGCCACAGAGTGTCATTTAATTATTTGAGTTTTTAATAGGCCCTACTGAAAGCAGAAAAAACCCAACAGTGTTATTCACTGTACCCAAGATTCTCTCGAGGTGGGTGTTTCTATGTTAATTTCCTGACCTGTAGACTAACTGTAGTAAAGAAGCGAACAACAAAAAACATCTATTTCCAAACTTACTGTGACTAAAATCATTACTGGAAAACATGTTTTGTCCAATGATACCTCCACCCAGGAGTTGGATTCAGTGATCCTTGTGGGTCCCTTCCAGCTCAGTGATTCTGCACTCCAGAGCTGACTGTCAACACACCAAAATCCAACAGAACTGCACAGTTGTCGTTTGTTCTTAAGTATAGTCAGGCATCTGGGGCAAGAGGCAGAAATGTAACATTAAATAATCATTTGGAGGTGAAAACTAAGACTTGAAGTCTGGTGTACATTTACATGTCAGTGTGTGTGGCTGTGACAGGCAGACACCCGTGGGGGTGGGCTTCTGCCCTACTTGGGTTTCATTCTACCTCTGTTTCACAGTCAGCCCTCTCTGAATAAAATACACCATTTTGTAAGGGTGGGTTTTTTTAAGGCCCATCCCTAATTCAGTCCTTTCCAAACACAGTGGCAGTTTTACTCTGAATAACATTAGAAAGCCCAGTGCAGAAGCCTGGACTGTCTCCCACTCTTAGCTCCTCGGGCCAGCATCTGGTTAGGATGTCGGTGACTTTTTCTGGACGCAGCTTTTCACTGTGAAAATGAATCTCAGGTGAAATGAAAACTCTATCCATGGGCAAGGGTCACCATCTCTTTTCCTGTGCCGCTTGCTGGGTCCCTTCTTCAGAATAAAGGCAGAGCACAAGGAGGGGGTGGCCTGGCAAGTCCCTGGGCCTGCAGTGGACATGCATTCCTGGTCACACACGTTCTCTTCCAAGCACAGAGTGAAACACAGCACTCTGCTGACAGCTCTGTGTTCTGTCTGCAGCTTTGCCAGGAGGTGTTTGCAGCTGCTGCTGTCTCTGCTTTCTCCTTTAGGAGGAATTAGCTGTACCCTATTGTCCATTCCTCACACACAGTAGGGAAGGAAAAGGTCTGGAAGCAAGTCTAACCAGAAATGCGAACTGAGCAAGTGGAAACAAGCAGGCCTAAGGAGCCTAAAGAAATAGGCATGAGGAGCCTGAGGACTTCTGACACATCAATAGCACTGTGAAAAGTGATACTCCCAAAACAAAGCAGGAAGGTTCTACAGAGCAGTGAAATGTCTCACACAGAGTACTGCAGCCAGCCAGTTCATCTCCACAGCTGAAGGAGGTCTCGAGGACTGGTGTTTGTGTCACAGACAGTTTTAGCTGTTGGTTTGCAGGTGTGGGCTCCTCAGCACACCGAGATGTGTGGGCTCCTCCCCGTGGCACCTCTGCAAGAATGAACAAACCAAGTTACAGTGGGACATCACGTGCCAAAGGCTTGATGAGTTTGGGGACGATTCCTTCCATGCAGAAACTGGACTGTAAATCCCTGGACACCCCACCCCTCCAGGCCCTGCAGGCAGGTGCCAGCAGGCAGTGGTGGGTCCTGCATGAACACAGGGAGTTGTGTTCCATGCAGACTGTCCTGCTGCATGGCATGCCTGGCTGGGCTTTCCTGCCTGAAGTGGAAAGAATTTCCATGTCTCGCTTTCCATACACATGATTTAAGAGTCAGGAGCAGCTGCATATGAAATATCTAAGGCAATTCAAAATTTTACCTGTAACTTGCAGTATTTTACTTTGACAAAAGAACTCACATAAAATTGTACTTCCAAGTTAAGACTAACATTTAACACAAACCCACATAACTGACCAAAAACCCATATTCTAAGTCACTGAAAAACCTATTCCACAACACTGGTTCTTAATATCTAAATGCAAATTAGTATATCTTGTAGTCTTTATAATGAATCTTGTGGTCATTTAAAGCTGTAAAATATCTAGAATTCATGAGTCATGTTTGATGTCCCATACTAGGAAAAGATTTAAACAGACACCTGTGTTTCCATTCTTGCCCCAGTCTTTGATGCCCAGACCAGTGTTAAAAAAAACAAACAATTGCAAGAAAGGACAGGGAAGCAACCAAATAGAGGGGCCTGGCTCATCTAGAATTTCACCACAAATATATTGACTTTAGGCACATATACAAAATTGTAAAGTGAACATAGACACTGACATGGATATGTTCCTTTGTTTCTGCGGGCACAATATGCTGGAAAAATTATTTTAAAAACTTACTCTGCTGCCAGGCTGACACTTTATGTCAGTGAAATGTGCCAGTGCATAAAGAAATTAAGACATTTGCACACTGCATGGGAGATTAACTGCATTGTGTGCTTGCTGTGGTGTAAACTGAGTGCATATTTTCTGCACAAAATTAAGGCCCTGATTCCTGGTGTTTATAGCTGCCAGAACAGGCATTTGCTTTGTTATCCCCAGCCATCCTGAAACAGGCCAGTTTGAGAAGCAGGTGTTTGGCACCGTAATGTATTTCACTTCAACCGTGAAAGGATAGTGGTCATCATCTACCACACAGGAAAAACCCTTTTTCTTTTTTCTTTTTTTTTTAACCTCAAGTTACATCACAGAAGTGTCTAACTTTGTTTGGCAGTTGTTTTTGTATTTGGTAGATTTGCTTGCTTTACAACTGAACCTCCTTACAGCCAACTCCTGCAAATACAACAAAACTAATTAGAGTTTTTTAGCAAACATCTTACTCCAGCCTGCGTCTGTCTCTTGGTGTGCCCAAAACTCACCCATTTATCTGCCAAACGTGACCAATCAAAAGGTCATTCTGATTTGCTCAATTTTACCTCTGAAAAGTGCAATTGTTTTTTCTTATTCCCTCCTTGCAGGGATCCCTCAATTCTGCCTTTCACATGCCCCTTCAGCCAGCATTTCCCTACATGTCCTGCAGCCATGGCACCCTCCTTCCTTTCAGTTCCCATGACATGGCAATATTACTCTGCAGCACTGACATTAAGATTTTGTCATTGCCACCACCCGTGCTGAAACTGCCCATCATGTCATGCCCCTTACATATCATCTCTTGTTCCTTCTGACTATACAAAGGCTTTTTAATAAGCTCCCAATTTTAGCTGGGGGAAAAAATTGTCTCTCTTTTCTTGATTGTAAAAAAAATGCAACTATGTGACATAAATGCTGAACTTTTCCCTTCTTTACATGAAGAGTCAGATGAATAATCACAAGATTGTCAGTTTTATGTACAAACAAGAACCCATCTACGGACATTTTATGGTTCCTACACATACCTACCCCTAGCACTTGCCTCTCCTTTCTTCAGTCAAATCACAGGAATAACAAGTTTTCCACTTGACAACTGAGAAGAAAGAATGGGAATGGGGAAGCAGTCATACTAAGAAAATAGCAAGACCAGTCTTCTTTATTTCTGAAGCTAGCTGATTCTCTCTTTTACCATTATGAAGTAATGCCAGCATCAGCTGAAGGAGAGATGTGATGCTGAGAAAAGCTCCACCAGCAGAACGAAGGTAAATGCTGAAAGTTGGTGTATT